ATATAACCCTAACACATCTTAACCCACCGATCCTGGAGCAGTGAGCAATCCTGGATTTAAGCAAATCCCCTCAGCTCCACCAGCAGTTCCTCATTCCTAGTTTTGCAATCTTCAACAAGTGACCTTTATTAACCTTTTATCCTATATATTCCCACATCTCCCCCCCTTTTTTTCTTTTGTTTTCTAAGCCCATTCCAGGATGATAGTACATGTTGCCAAGGTTGCTCAAGGATTATCTTACCATATTCTTCATGATCAATCCTCATCAATAGTGGTTGGTAATTCCAGTCTTCATCCTGTGTCTGATTCTTGGTAGGCATGGAAGATTCTTCAGCGTTATCTTCAGCAACCCAGCCAATTCTGTCCTTCTTTAGCACCAAACCTTGCAATTGGGTTGTAAAGGTGTCAATAGGCACGTGTACATACTTGACTAACGTGACCTAGAGCATCTCGTCCTCAAAGCAATACAGGTAATTGCAGCACATAGGACCGCAGCGTAGACATGTGTCCCTCAGGTCCTTGGATGACAACTGTATGGGCGCTGACACAGGACACAGTTGCTTCTCCGACCTCAGCGGCCGCTCATGGGGCAGCCTGGGTAGGCCAGTCCAGGGACCAGTCATGTTCAGCAATTCTGATTATATCCAAAAGTCCCATGATGCTTGCTGTGGTTCCATAGCAATGTATGATGGCACAGCATGTCCGATGTTTAGTACTTTTGAGGTCGGTCACACAAAGAACCTGTGCAATCTCTTCTCCCACTCAAATGTCCTGGGGAGGACACAGTGATGTAGCTAGCACTGTGAATGGTGTTCTGGGCCCGCAAAGCATTGGCGTAACCCAGAGTACATTCTGGGTCCCTGCTAGCACCAGCACTGTTCCCTGCCCGTCTGTATCTAGGGGCAGTAACTGAGGGTCACCCTGCGCTATACTTATTGAGTGCCAGGCTCTGGCAGCCACTCCCAGTTCAAGTTGTCGGGACCAGTTGCTGCCGGGGCTGTGGCCTGCATTATTTGTGTCTTTGCGTGTGCTGGCCGTCCTGTGCTGCGCCACCCCTGCAACGGCATGCCATCGCTGTGATATGCTGACCGGCGTTGATTGGTATAATGACATCCTTTTCCACATCATGGACGTGGGCCTGGAGCCTGACTGGTCTTCTGGCATTTGGGGCACTCGCGTTTAAAGTGACCTGCTTCACCACACATGAAGCATTTACTTCACTGCTGACTGCTTACTGCGAGCGACTCTACAGCCTTAGCCAGCATCAGCATCGGGTCCCCCACTTGATTCTCCACCTCCTGACAGGCTTTGACCATGTCATTAACTGTAGGAGTTCCTCCTAGTCGCACTTGTAACCCACGAATCACCGCTTTACAAACCTTATTCATATTTTTCTCTGCCAGCTGCTCAAATATTAGCAAGTGAAGCCCTTCCCTGTCCACCTGTTTATCTACCACCGCCCTAACATGGTCTAAAAATTTAATATATGGTTCTCTTTTCTCCCGCTGTGCCTTAGAAAAAGGTTGTGTAGCCTCTTGTTCCCCTGCAGGCACATGTCCTGCAGCTTCTGGAAATATCTTCCGTGCCTGTATCTGTGCTGCCGGTGGGCATCTGGCCTGGACATTCACCGTTCCGTAATGCCCTTCCCCCAGCAACATTTCTACACCCACTCCTTGCATTTGTGGGTCATGTGCATTATCCAAAGCCTTAAGATGAGCTACTTCGCGCATTTCCTGTGCCATGACTGCACTGATGTGTACAGCAATTTCATGAGCTGCTTGTAGTCCTGGGGTACTAATCAGTGTTCTTCACGATAGCCTCATAATAAGGCCAACGCGTAGGGAGATTTTGGCCTGTAATCTGAAATGGCTTTACACAGCTCTTTTACCGTATTATAATCTAGGGATCTATGTTGCACCCCCCCTTGCCCATCAAACATGACCAGAAAAGCCACGCCTCCCATAGCACCCAAGGCCGAACCCATCTCCCAGACCCCCTGCTCAAGTGCTTTGCAACTTACGACTTGCCAGCCTTCATCTCCCTCCTTAGCCATAGCCCCTTCCCGTGGCAGATCTTGCCCGGCTGGCTGTTTACTGCCACCTCTTGCAATTCATAATCAGGTGGGGCTGATGGAAGAGGTGAAGAACTTCCCAATACATGTGAGAAACAGCCCTCTGGTCATAGGGGAGGTGGTGTCATGTCCTTAGGTGTAACACTCTCCTGTCGCAGGTGAGGTGGAGGTGCAGTCCCTGATGCTTCTAATCATGATTTTTTGCCTTGTCCCCTCCTTATGCCATGCATCTCATTGGTGCTGCAGCAAGGGGTGGTCCTGACTGTTCTGCTACAACTTGTTGAAAGTGCCCACAGGCAGGGTTGAGCTGCAGATCCTGACACAGCTCCTACTCTGCCCAGCTGCCCAGGGACCATTTCTGATTGCCCAGGAAGCTTGTCTCACTGCTGATGTAAAAGATGATGTGAGGAGCCGTGGTGTCCTCAGGCTCCTGGCAGTCCCTGGCACTCCTGGCTACACAGGGAGCTTGTGTTTTGCTGCTGATAAAAAAGCAGATGGGGGGGACCGTGGTGTCCTCTGACTCCTCGCAGGCCAGCCATTCGCTGCCGATGCTGGCACTCTGCTGGCTGCACAGGGAGCTAGTTTCGCTGCTGGTACAAAATCAGATGTGGAGGGCCAGGGTGATGTCTGGCTGCTCATAGATCAGGCAGCTGCTCTCTGCTAGACAGCACATTTGTGGCAGGATGTGGAGCATCCTACCTCGGGCTCCAGCAGTACCTTTCCACTCTTTGCCATCTTGGGTAATGGCACCTGAGGTGGAGGCACAGGTCTTGGCAGGGTCTCGATGTCACCAAAGGACCCAGAGGTGCTAGCTCGAGGCAGCTGGAGGACACAGCTGGAGTTTCAGCTTTCGTCCTCATCCTCCAGCAGACCCTATGCAGGCATCCACCAGCTGTCCAGGGAGCTGCTCTCACTGCCGATATAGAAGGTGGCACGCGGGGCCATGGTGTCCTGGAGCAGCTCGCAATCAGTGCAGTCCCCGGCACCTTCGCCACTCTATAGGCTGGCCAGGGAGCTCGTCCTGCTCCCAGTGTAACAGATGGCCGCATGCCCTCCTTGGGCGCTGGGCTGTTGAGGCAGCCGCTCGCACCCACGTTGCTCTCCTGGCTCTCCAGTTTGCTCATCCCACTCCCAGTATAAAAGATGACCCAGGGCCACGCGCTCTCCTCGGTCTCTTCATGGTTAGGCAGCCAGCAGCTTCCGCATTGCTTTCCCAACTGCGCAGGGAGCTCACCTCACTCCCAATGTAGAAGCGAATGCGGGAGGCTGCAGAGACATGTGACTCCTCGCGGGTGAGCCACCTAATGTAGTCGGCCAGCTCATTTGTTTCCCAGTGGTCCAGAGTGCTGCCGCACTGGCACCTCTGGCCCAGGCAGAAGCAGCCGCGCAGCGACTGCCACCATCTGCCACCAGCCCTTGGTTGCCGCTCCCTCTGCCCAGCCTCGGCCACCGCCTTGCCTTCCCCTGCAGCTTCTCTCCTGCCCAG